TTCCTCCACCTATTCAAAATGTTGTGGGAATCTGCAAGCAGATCGCCATTCTCATCCTTCACTAAGTTACTTCTAGGTTGGTAACCCCTCTTAAAGTCATTTATTCCTCTATACAGGTCTCTAATGTTCTTGTTTTTACTGTTCATTGCAATCTCATCAATTTTGTCTTTCAGATATTCCCTCTTTTTGTTCCTGAAATGCCTGCTGGTTTCACATCTTATGTTTTTCAGATTATCCCCATTTAACTCGCTTGGATCCTGCTTTCTTTGATCTAATAATTTGAGCATCCTTCATCACACCATAGCTTATGCTTCTTTGGTTCATAATAAATTACACTCTCTTTGGCAGATTATTACGCTTCTTCAGTTCATAATAACCTAGACTCTGTTTGGCAGACATTTTTATATTCTCTCTAAGTTTCCCAAGCTTTATTAACATCCATCTCAGTTTCCAAGTTTTCCAAGGCCGTGAACCTATTTGAGATATCAACACAATACTGCTCTCTACCCTCCACCTCATTTTATTTCTTGAGATTGAACCTCTCCATATGAACTCTGTGTTGTTTGTTTGCTAACTGCCAGTCTTTCCCTAACCTTTGCCACCACTAGGTAGTGGTCAGTATCACAAACTGCTGCCCTGAATGAACGGACATCAAGTACGTGGTGTGTTCAAAAAGTATCAAACCTCTGGTCGGCAGAAATACATTTATTGATTTGGAGGTACAAAACCCTAATCCCCATCAAAGTAGTCTCCTTGGTAATGCACACACTTTTCCCAGCGCTTCTGCCATTGTTGGAAACACTTCTGGAATGCGTCTTTTGGAATGGTGATCAGCCGGACCGTCGCATTCCACATGATGTCTTCTCTTCCATCAAATTGGGTTCCTTTCAGCGGCATTTTCAGCTTGGGAAATAGCCGAAAGTCACACGGAGCCATGTCGGGGGAGTAGGGAGCCTGACGAACCACAGGGATGTTGTGTTTGGAGATGAAAGTCTGAATCAGATGCGCAGAATGGGCGGGTGCGTTAACGTGATGGAGCTGCCAAGTTTTTGCTGCCCACAGATCTGGTCGTTTGCACCACACAGCATCACGAAGGCGACAAAGGACCTCCTGGTAGTATTCCTTTGTGATGGTTTGGCCTTGTGGTGCGTACTCATGATGCACAACCCCATGGGAGTTGAAGAAAACGGCCAACATGACCTTGACATTGCTGTGGACCTGCCGTGCTTTTTTTGGCCTCGGGGATGTTGGATGTTTCCACTGTGATGACTGCATTTTGTATTCCGGGTCATACCCATAAACCCATGACTCATCGCCTGTGATCACGGTGTTCAGAAAGTTGGGGTTACTATTTGCATTGTCCAGCATGTCCTGTGCGATTTCCAGACGGTGGTGCTTCTGCTTCACTGTTAGCAGTTTAGGTACAAATTCTGCGGACATTCTCCTCATGCCCAAATCCTCGGTCAAAATTGAATGTACCGATCAAATGCTTTCCTCTATCTCGTTCACAAGTTCTCGGACTGTGATACAACGGTCCTCCATGACCAAAGTCTGCACTTGCTCAATGACATTCTCATGTCGGCTTGTTGAGGGTCTGCCTGAACGCGGTTTGCTGTCTATTGATGTGCGGCCATCTTTGAAGCGGTTGGCCACTCCTTTATCTGTGAGTTGCTCATGGCATCGTCCCCGAAAGCCTGTTGAATCTTGCGAATGGTTTCCACTTGGGTATCGCCAAGCTTTTGGCAAAATTTGATGCAATATCGCTGCTCATGTTGTTCTGTCATTTTGCACCTTAATGGAATCCGACGAGCGCTCACTACAAGTCCTCACTCGTAGGCCGACTGCCAGCGACTGACACTTTCTGTGGGCGGGAAAAAATTCATGACTGCGCATGAATGTCCCCTCCACATCTCCACCAAAGGGAGTCTCACGCGCTTCATTGATTTACGCGGGAAAAAAGAAGGTTCAATACTTTTTGAACACACCACGTATACTTGAGTGTCGACTCCTACCTATCAAAATACGGTCTATTTGATTGTGTATCTTCCCATCAGGAGCTGTCCAAGTAAATTTATGTATGTTATGATGTGGGAACATTGTACTTTTGACAGTAAGATTTTTTGATGTGGCAAAGTTTACTATTCTAACTCCATTATCATTACTGATTTCATGCAAACTCTCATTCCCAATTGTTGGTTTGAAAATGTCTTCCCTCCCTACTTTGGCATTGAAATCTCCTAACAAAATTTTCATATGGTACTTCCAGAATTTATCAAGTACATGTTTTAATTCTTCATAGATTCTATCCTTTGTCATCAATTTTATCTTCTGTTGGGGCACGAACATTCATAACAATGATATCACACCAGCGACCTTTTAGTATTGTATATATGATATCCTATCACTAACAAACTCTACCCTCTTAACTGCTGATACGATTCTCTTATGTACGAAAAACCTGTCCCTAATTCATGATTTTCATTCCCTTTCCATAGACAAATGTATATTCTCCTGCTGGTGCATTGCCACCTCCGTCCCATCTGACCCCCTGTACTCCCGCTAAATCTAACTTATATTTTAAGATTTCCTCTGCCACTGCCCTGAGTGAACCTGCCCTATACAAACTTTGAATATTCAAAGTGCCAAATCTGATATCCATTTTCTTTAGCTTAAGTTGTTTATCCAAGGAATCCGTCCAGGTCCGAGGCTTTGTGTTCATTTTTGTAACATACTTATTTTTTACAGTGAGCAGTTGTTAGCACCACGCCCAACCCCCAAGCTGGAGGACCACCCCTTGTTGGCTGCACACAACTGCTTATTCAATATATTCACAGCTTCACTCTACATACCCACTGTTTTCTTATTAAAATTGTGTTTATCGATTTACTTGCACTGGACCCTTTATTTGGACAGTCATACACAGTGGTCAGAGATGAAAGAGAGACAAGAAGCAATATCAGTGGTTTCCTCTATCTTTCTCCCCACCACTTCAAAATGTATAGGTTGTGGGAACTTTTCAAGAAAGTACCTTTTATTTTATTTTATTACTGATATTCTTAATCACTTAAATTTATCATCTCTAAACTGAGACTTAAATGAGCCTATGAACACTACAATCTCTCACATTACTTATCTTTCAAATGGGGGGGGACATATACATGAGACACTTTCACTTTTCACTTCAGTTCTAATCAGAAATGCAGTGTTATGTATCACATCTGGCACATCACTTTTATCAACGCAATCAAATTCTCTGTAAGTCATATGTTACATATCCCCCATTGTCCCTTTGAGGAATTTAAGAATTATGACCTTGATGCAGAAAAAAAAAGTCACAGCCCAAATAAAACAGTTAATTAACTTGGAAACAACTGTGCCTACCTTATCCATTACTTCTAGCAGATCACATAAACAAGTCCATTTTAAAAATGCTGTGGGGTAGAAGGCATGGAAGCATGACACGAATGTTTCATGACACTCTTCAAGGATGCTAGTTGTCATTTTATTATAAGGCATTGCACCTGAAATAAGATGCAGTTCTGAAAAAATATATCTTTCTATGAAAAATAATTGGAAAATATAGAATAAACACAGTACAATATGACATGCTAAAAGGCAAAGAAGATCAATTAATTTGGAAGTACAATTACTTACTTTCTGGACATTACTAATCATCCTCTTTTTATTAAAAAAAAATTTTAAACACATAAAATATATACAAATACCACATATGTGAAGACTTTTCAGAAATGTTTTCACATCACAAACATCTTTATTCACTGAAGAAAGCAGTCTTCTGGGATTTGGCACCGTGTATAAGTGGTGTTAGCCGACGTTTCGGAGGAACGTATCGCCTCCATCTTCAGGGTAGAAGAAAATATAAGAATTCTGCAAGCGAAGAGACCGTGAGAACTGGTAAAAGCAGACAACAGTCTTCGCTTGCAGAATTCTTATATTTTCTTCTACCCTGAAGATGGAGGCGATACGTTCCTCCGAAACGTCGGCTAACACCACTTATACACGGTGCCAAATCCCAGAAGACTGCTTTCTTCAGTGAATAAAGATGTTTGTGATGTGAAAACATTTCTGAAAAGTCTTCACATATGTGGTATTTGTATATATTTTATGTGTTTAAAATTTTTTTTTAATAAAAAGAGGATGATTAGTAATGTCCAGAAAGTCAGTAATTGTACTTCCAAATTAATTGATCTTCTTTGCCTTTTAGCATGTCATATTGTACTGTGTTTATTCTATATTTTCCAATTATTTTTCATAGAAAGATATATTTTTTCAGAACTGCATCTTATTTCAGGTGCAATGCCTTATAATAAAATGACAACTAGCATCCTTGAAGAGTGTCATGAAACATTCGTGTCATGCTTCCATGCCTTCTACCCCACAGCATTTTTAAAATGGACTTGTTTATGTGATCTGCTAGAAGTAATGGATAAGGTAGG